TTTGAATCATGCTTGATTAGATATTTTAATTAGCATTGACTACGTTAAAGTATTTTATGCTTCCGCAATTATGTAACGAATTATGTTAAACATATTATGTGTGCTTGAAATTTTTAAGTTCGTATTTTGTTTATGACATAAGTTATTAAGAATGACGTCACGATACCCGAAAAAAATCGGGGCGTGATAGCAAATATGGCAGGTAGACAAAACGGTAACGAAGAATGGTTAGTTGATTCGGTGCATGATATGATCTCCTTGAAAACAGGATTAAGACTCCTCACGAGGCTCCAGTTATTATACCAAACGGTGAAGCAATTCCCGTCGAGGAAAAAGGCGTTTACACCTTGCCTAGAGGTGTAAAATTAAATGGGGTTCTCCATGTTCCAAATTTCAATTGTAATATCCTTTTTGTTAGCCGATTGAGTAAAGATCTTCAATGCGTTATAACATTTTTTCCCGACTATTGTGTTATGCAGGGGTTACATACGAGGGACTTGGTTGGTGCAGGTAGATGCAAAAGAGGGTTGTACCGAATGGGGATGGTGAATGGAAACATGAGGGCATTGATGACAACGGTTGACACATGGCACAAGAGACTTGGGCATGCCTCAAAGAAGAAGCTTTCTGGAGTTGAACCACTTAAGAGTATTTATTTTGATCATAAGAATAATATTTGTGATTCTTGTGCAAAGGCAAAACTTACCAGAACACATTTTCCTGTTAGTTCAATTAAAACCAATGATTGTTTTGAATTGATCCATTTTGACATATGGGGTGGTTATCGTATTCTATCATACACACCGGCATATTATTTCCTCTCAGTAGTTGATGACTTTAGCAGATCAGTGTAGGTTTTTCTTATTAAGCATAAAAATGATGCTAGTACATGTCTAATTAGTTTTTGCAAAATGGTGGAGGTTCAATTTAGAAAAGTTATTAAAAGAGTTAGATGTGATAATAGGGGTGAATTCACATCCAATTCTATGATGGAATTTTATCACCAATAAGGAATCTTATTGGAAACCACCTGCCCACACACACCCCAACAAAATGGAGTCGTCGAGAGGAAACATAGGCACATTCTCGAAACAGTTCGTGCCTTAAGATTTGAGGCAAATTTTCCTAAAATATTTTGGGGAGAATGTATTTTGATAGCAGCCTATATAATCGATCGTCTCCCCTCCAAAATTATTCAAAACAAGACTCCCTACTAGTTGGTTTTCAATAAAAAAAAACCCGAATATAATCACATGAGGGTTTTCGGTTGTCTTACCTACTTTAAAAATAATAATACCAAAGGAGACAAGTTCGAAGAGAGGGGGGAGTCTAGGAATATTTCTGGGTTATCCACAAGGAACCAAGGGCTACAAGGTATACGATATCAAACATGGCAAAATTATTGTTAGTAGAGATGTTTTCTTTTGGGATAACTCTTTTCCTTTCAAAAATTCCAAGTTCGATGAAAGGGATGAGGGCACTGAAATTTTGCAGTATCCAACTGAGACCATAGAAGAAACACATCCTATGGATCAACCTAGTAAGCCCATTAACAGCTCAAACGAGCCCAATGCTAGCGAGATGGACCTAGAGACCAAGGATGATGTCACAGACTTGTTGGTGGATAATGAAAACTTCATCCATGGAGAAGAGGGTCGACCACAAAGTGTTGACCGAGATTTTGTGGATCAAAACATGATGGCCACAATGTTGATGAGCAAATAGAGAACAGGAGCAAAAGGGCTAAATCACAACCAAAATGATTTCATGACTACATAGTCAAGCTTCCCCCATCAGTCAACGACACACAACACGCAACTGATCAAGCTTCATCTATGGTACACCCTATTGCAAATTTTATTTCTAATGAAAAAATTTCTGATGCTCACAAAGCTTTCTTATCGGCTATCACATCAAATGATGTGCCAAAGTATTTCAAACAAGCAGTGTGAGATGAGCGCTGGAAAGAAGCCATGAAACGTGAAATTCAGTCCCTTGAAAAGAATGGGACGTGGACTTTTGAAGACTTGCCAAAGGGAAAGAGATCCATTGATTCAAAATGGGTCTACAAAGTAAAATATAAGCCTAATGGATAAGTTGAGAGATTCAATGCCCGACTCGTGGACTTCCATGACACGTTTGCTCTGATTGCCAAGTTGGTCACCGTTAGAACACTTCTAGCAGTTGCAGCTAAGAAGGATTAGATTATTCGCCAACTTGATGTGAATAATGCATTCTGACATGGATATTTAAATGAAGAAGTGTATATGAAGATTCCTCAATGTTTTTCCAAAGAAGGGGAGACTCGAGTTTGTCGACTTCGAAAATCTCTTTATGATTTGACACAAGCGTCACGCAATTGGTACCAAAAGTTCACATCTTCTCTCATCGGCCAGAATTTAAAGCAGTCCAAGGTTGGTCATTCTCTATTCACACACAAAGAAAAGGGTTTGTTTGTTGTTGCGCTTATTTATGTTGATGATGTTCTTTTAGTCGGAAATAATTCTTTGAAAATCCAACAAACCAAGAAACATCTTGACGAGGAATTTAAGGACCTTGGTTCGTTGAAATATTTTCTTGGATCGAGGTGGCAGAAACATCAAATGGTTTAGTCCTAAGTCAACGAAAGTTCACTCTGGACATATTGAAGGATAGTGGAATGATGGGTTGTCGACCAAGTACTTTTCCCATTGAACCGAATTTAAAACTCGATAGAGGAGAAAAGGAAGCACAAGTTGATGATAGCTCATACCGACGGTTGATTGGTAGGTTGTTATACTTGCAGGTCACCAGGCCGGATATTGCATATGCAGTAAATGTCTTGAGTCAGTTTGTTGCTGACCCACGACAAAATCATATGGAAGAGGCAAACAGGTCCTACGGTATTTGAAGGGTACATCAAGGCAGGGCTTACTTTTTCCACCGGTTCATGAACCTATCTTAACTGCTTATTGTGGCGAGGATTGGCTTGGGTGTCCTTATTCTAGGCGATCCAGAACCGGGTATTTTCTTCTTTTGGGAGGTGCTCCTATCTCTTGGAAGTCAAAGAAACAATCACTCGTTTCTCGTTCTTTAGCAGATGCGGAGTATAGAGCTATGGCGAAAACTGTGAGCAAGATTTTATAGGTTAGATGGCTTCTCAGTAATTTGGAGGTGGTCCTTACTACACCAACGCCGTTGTACTGTGATAATTAGGTTGCTCGACACATCGCCAACAATCCAGTTTTTCACGAAAGAACCAAACATGTTGAAATGGACTGCTATTTTGTTAGAGAGCAAGTAGAGTCTAAAGATGTTACTCATATGCACATCGACAGCAAGATGATAGTTGCCGATCTATTAACGAAGGGCTTGGGATCTCGTCCAATCCTTATTAGTCAAGATAGGAATTAAGGGTACGTTTGGTGCGCAGACAGGACAGGACAGGACATGACAGCTATTCAGTGTTTCGTAAGACAGGACATGACAGGACAGAACTGGTTAAAATGACCAATTTACCCTCAGTGAGCTGTTTAGTGTTTTTTCACTAAATAATCAATATAAATGTTTACAAATACTATTTAAAAATACCAAAAAAACTCACATTCCAACTATATTAATCAATATGCATCTATTCTGCATAAACCACACTTCATTTTTCAAACTTCTACCAACATCCATATCCTTATTTGTCATCTTTCTTTTCCTAAACATTTAACCTCAGATACAATTCTCAATTATGAATTTTTCCTCAAAAGAACACTAGCAACAAACATATTTTGCTCATAGAAACAGTTGATCAAGTGTTCTTCACCAACTATACTTCCATTGTTAATTCTACCATAGAAACATTGCTGGTAGGAGAAATCCTTTCACCAACTATACTTCCATTGTTAATTCTACCATTTTCTAGAAGAGATTTTAAGCTTTTTAGAGGGAAAACCACACTTTGAAATTCTAGGGGAGCTGTTTATGGCCTGATGCAATTGACGAGCTAACTCTTCATCATTTGTCTTACTTTTACCATTCTCTAACCTCAGTTTCTTATTGTTATACAACATTTGAACCTCAACTTGCTTTTGGGTTTTATTCTTCTTCAATCTTTCTTAACAATGTGCGATTTAGGGTTCCTATTTCCTTCTTATTTGCTGTCAGAACCAAACCAGATGGAAGTATTTACCCTTCTTTAACAAGAAAATAATTTCCTTAGAAACAATACAGAGGGTGTGTTTGGGTTCCTCAAAGTAAGAAAAGGCCGATTTAGGGTTCAAGCAAACAAGAAATCGGTTCAAGAAATCGATTTCGGGTTCAAGCAAACAGCCGATTAGCAACAAAATCGAGATGAAGCAATCATGTACCTGAGTATGGAGAGAGGAGAACTCGCCGATTTAGGTAGAAGTCACCGATTGAGCAGAAGTCACCGCTGATTGAGTAGAAGTTGTCGCCGATTGCTGTGAAGCGATGGAGGCAGATATGGGGAAAGGGTGTGGGGAAGAAAAGGGTATGGTCTGAAGGAAGCGATGGAGGCGGAAAGGGTAGTGTGTTAAAAAAAATTGTTCCACTTAGTTCTAGGGGGTAAAGGGTGAACAACCGTGTCCCACTCTTGTCCTACTTAGTTCTATTTAGTTCCACATAAAACCACACCAAACATAGGACAAATGTGTTCTGTCTTGTCATGTCCCACCCTGTCCAACGCACCAAACACACCCTAAAGACTTACATGCTCCATCGAAGGGAAATATACGTTTTTGTTTTGATCCTTTATCTTTTCCTTTTTCCTCCCCTTTTTGGTCCTTATCTTTTCCTTTTCTCCCCTCTTTTTAGTTGATAGTTCCCCTATTTATTCTTGGTTTACTTTCAATTGTAATCATCTTTTCAAAATAAAGAGAGATTGATTTCCGATGCCATCGATTTCTAGACATAGAAAATCAAACGACAGATATTTTCGCAAACCCATGTGGTGGACTACGTTTTCAAGAAAAATATCGAAAGACTAGAAATAAAAAGCAACCAAATCGAAGAGCATTCGAATAATAATTTGTACAATTTGAACAAAGATTATTATCAGAGAGATCAATAAGAAGAATTTTATATAAACAACATTCATCTCAAGAATTAAAGACTCATGAAATACAAACTTCTTTGGTTTCAACATATTCTAGTTGATCCTTTCTAGGATTTTTGATTTACGGTATCGAACCAAGATCTTTCATTATAGAAGCTAAAAAAAGCACACCCGTTTCACGTTTTGGGTACTCTGGTATAAAAAGCGTTAGAAATCATCAGAAAAACGAAGAAAGATTAGAATGTCGTCCTCACGGACCTCCCATTTGCGTTGGAGACTTAAGTAACCTCTTTAACGAGTTAACGATGCTTCTAAAAGCTGGCCGTTGAGTAGGGTCACTGTTCGAACATGTAAAAACTGGTTTAGGAGACTATATAAAAGCCGATATTTTATAGTATATAAATATTATATACTTTAAAAAAAATAAAAAAGGTGATATGTGGAGCAACAAGATGAATGACGAGTTCTTACTCGGCCCAGCAAGATTCCATGAGCGAAGTTAACGCCGGGGAGGTGTTGATAGGTATCGTTAGTTTCCTGTTTTGGAAAGCCACCGCTCCGACAACCTGAAATTAGCATATTCATATATCAACTACTTAAAGTCTTCGGATAAACAAAACCAAACGAATCCGGTATATCTTATCCAGAGGTACTACTGAAGGTCTTTGATTGCAAGTAGAAAAAGGGAATGAAACGCAATTCAAGACACGACAATGTTTATTTGTTCGTGTAGAGCCTTAGCACCAAACTGACCCAATAACGCCTTTGAACTTATAAAGAGCTCACAAATATAATTTTCTATTATTGCGGGACGGGTTGTTATATAGACCCCCTTTCCCATTTTCGAAGAACTTCATACGCAAACCAAACAAGCTCAGAATATGCCACCAGAAGGTGGGTTTGGGAGGGTGCGATGTACACAAATCTGACCTATACCCCAAGGAGTAAAATGGTTTCCATGAAAACCCTCGACTTCTAATGGATTCATTTTCCTATCGAAAATGGTACGCTTACAAAGGACTAACCTGAGCAGGGCTAAGTCCGTTCCATGGCTGTTGCATGGTCACTAGCTCCCATAAGATCACGCCGAAACTATAAACATCCGATTTTTCATTCGAGGGCTCTCCTCGGAGGAATTCAGGGGCCATCCATTCAGGCTGAGATAAAAAGAGCAACAGAATTACATCCGTTTTTAGACAGGAAACGAACGAATGCATGAGTATGAGCAACAACGTAAATCAGAGAAGCTTACAGTTCCAGCAACAGATTTCGATGATATGAAAGTATTCGCTTTAAATCTCGATAACCCAAAATCACAAACCTACATTTCAAAAATGGGAGCCAAGGTAAATGTTGATTCACTAAAAGGAGTTGCGGGCAGATTCCAACCTTCATGGAATCATGTGTGTGAGTGATTGCTGTATATAAATATTATATATATATATATACACACACCTTGACAGTCCAGTTTTTGTCCACCAACAAATTTGGAGATTTGAGATCCCAGTGAACAATGGGGGGACTAAGACAATGAAGATAATTGATGCCCTTTGCCTGCAACAAAGAACAAATCAGAGGGTTTTAGTGTGTATAAATCACCATCCAATGGCTTTAAGTGTTAGCAACCACTCCCTTGGCCACATAAAGATAGAAAAGGAACTAACCCTTAAATTCAAGATTCATAGAAGTATGTTCTTGGAAAAGAGGGGGAATAAGAAGTTAGAAAAAAGATCAAAAGGATTTAAAAAAAAACCACATTCAATGGCTTTAAATCTTTACAATCAACTACCCTCACCCTAATGGAGAGGGTAGAAGCTATGTTCGCCAAACTAGGTGTTAGCCACTAAGTTAACTGATAAAACTATTTACGTCTGGCAAAACTAGCTGATAAGCTAGATGATAACGTAAAATTATCTAAAAATAATTAGGGTTTTTGGTCATTCATGTAAAGGTTTTATGGGCATGAATGGAACAAAAATTAAAATAAATACAAGAAGCTTACTGAAACACTACAAAATATAGTTTTTCAAAATGCTAGTATATGGTTTTCCAAACTGGATTTCTTCAGAGGGTTGTTATATATGCGCCCGTTTCAGATGATACCAGGTCAAATCATGTATTGAAAATGTAAAAAAGAGGGGGTTGAGGTTGATGTGTGTGAGGGGAAAATTAGTATGATAGGGTGTATTTAACATATAGACAGGGGTGCATAAAATAAGTTAGTTTATGATTGTCGAGCATGGCCTAAAGAAAAATCCAAACTTAGTATGAATCACTTAGAATGGCTGTAATTCCAGGCAATCACTCCCTCAATCCCATGGAAAAACACTGTTTAAATTTGGAGGTAAAAAAGATCAACATAAAAGTTCAAGTTCCACACAGGTATGTTCTTGAAATAGAGGAGTAGAAAATATAGGAAAATAACTGAAGTAAAAATCCAAAGTATAGTTGCAAACCACATCCAAAGCCATGCGTAGACGTCGCCTTTGATCCATAATTTCGCCAGCTGCAGGACGGTGAAGAAGGCGAAATAGACTACCTCTGTTTCATAAATTCAAGAAATTTGTGTAAACATTGAGTGATTAACTCTTCAACTCATCATACTGAATTTATGTTGCATATAGATCAATCATTCACACGAAAATGCAAAAAGAACATCACAATTTGCAATAACAAGTCATTTGGACAAAAGATAGCAAGTAGAATGGTCGTTTTTCAACTTTCCACGAGCAATATGAAGTCCCTCATTCAGAAAGTCTTCGTGTTTCTTCACATTTTTGCAAAATAATGGTTTGTTTATTACTAAAAAACAAAGTACAATGGTCTGAAAAGTTGATATTTGAGGCCTCTTGGGACCCGAGACTATGAAAACATGTGGAATTCCATCAGATTACTCCCCAAAAGAGTTCTTGAGGACAGAAGAAAGGTTCCAACATATATTAATGAGAAATGGTCCAAGTCTAGCCGATATGGGCCTCTAACACGCCCCCTCCAAAAAGAGGCTAACACAGATTGTCCCCGAGTGCCGAGTCCCTAGAATTGGCGACCATGCTAAAATATATGAAAACCTCCAAAAGAGCCTTTAATAAGAGAATGGGGTTACAACATATATTGAGAATAAAGGGTCCAAGTCTAGCTGGTGTGAGTCTCTAACAAAGACAACTAAAGACTGCCAACATATTAGCGTTGTTCAGAGAAATGAACACAAGAAAAGAACTCACCTAGGTAGATACTCCGTCACAATTGAGAAATGTGGACGAACAGTGACCGCACCCATGAACAGAACCACATTCGGATGGCGTACTCGTTTCATAATTGAAACCTTACAAGAAAAGATTTAACACCAAATTTCATCATAATTGAGAAGAAAGATGCATGGAAAAAAAAGCATTATAAATATGGACATAATGTTATACCTCCCGAAGAAACTCCTTCAATTGATCATCTTGAAAGTCCTGGACTGTCAAGACCTTTACAGCAACATCCTACATTAAAAACAATCCATTCTTCTTGAGTTTAGCTTTAAAATATAACCACAATACTTGGTAAAAATTATGGGAACATCTTCAAGTTTCCAAGTATTTTGGGACATTATGATGGATGATGTTGGCTTGAAACCTAGGCCCAAACTACCACTTCAAATTGAGACCAATGAAACTAGTTTTTGAGCTTATTGAGAAAGTCTTGATTGGTTAGTCATAAGCTAGCTTTTCAAATAACTACTTCAAGCATCATTTCCACAAGCTCTAGGGGCTTTGTTCCACTTTTTTCCAATTATTTTTTCAACATGTTCATTTAAGTCGGTTTATACTCTCATCTAGTTTATCAACTAGTTTTTACCATATGACTAGTTTATCAACTATCAGCTAGCATATTAACTGAAAACTCAGCTGACAACTAGCTTATTAGCTAGTTTGCCCTACATAGCCCAAACCAAACAATGTTCAACGCAAAAAGATTTAGATATCCCTACTTTGTAACATCGTCAAATTTTAACTGACGTTAGCAAAATATAACAAGGCGTACTAACCGATCCATGCCATTCTGCACGATGCACCGTCCCAAACGAGCCTAGAAATGGTTAGAAAATGTTAGCCACTTCCTTGGCATTTAATGTACAAATACAATGACCAATAAGAATTCACGGGCACGTACCAGCACCAATACGCTCCTTGATATGCAACTCGTCCCAAGCTATCTCAAGCCAGTCCATTGCAAGAGATGGCTCAAGGGTCAAGTACCTTGGAGTAGTCACAGGAAAGTTGCCTCTACATTTGCCATCACTCTCGACCTTCAACTGCTCTGATTGGCCGAATATAACTTTTGGCGTTTCAATCGGCTCACAAATTCTATAGTTCTTATCGAATGGTACACATGTCATCTCCTTAGGCTCTCCGTTAAGGCCAATTTCTTCATCGGATACATGAGGTCCTCCTTCGATGGCTACATGAGATTTATCATAAGATTATGAACAAAAAGTTCCGGAAGAGTTCACATCCTTGTGAAAATATAACATCATAGATTACAATTATCTTACATAACATAAGCTAGTTTTAATATAACATCATAGATTACAATTATCTTACATAACATAAGCTAGTTTTACTTTCAACATCATGTCACATTTTCAAAACATAGACCATTTTTAGCAAGCATAAGCTAGCTCATTTTCGTTGAAAAAGGCCCATTTGGTTAGCCATAAGCTAGCTTCTTGAAAATCCGACTTATAAGTAATGTTTCAATAAACTTCAGGGGGTTTTTTCTAGTTATGCCTTTTATATTTTTTCAATCAACTTCTCAACATGTCCTTTTAGAATACTGTACCTTGACCTGTAGCTTATCAACTAGTTTTTACCGAAAATGACTTCGTTTATCTGCTAGCTTATCTATCTTATTAGCTAACAATAAGCTTTTCAGTTAATAGCTATTGGCTAGTTTCTCAAACATGGTATAAACTTCTTGAATGTGAGTAGAACATACTCTTGACTTGAGAAATCGATGCTCGGTCCACATAAACTTGTTGAACCTCCTTCAAATGAGAACTCTGAAATGGTGAAGGCACCGAAGAAAGTATATCACCATTTATAGAGGAATCCGGATTATAGATGTTTCCCGGTTGCCCGATTAGATCCATTACATACTCCCTGAACAAAAGGTGAACATAAGTCAAACTTTTGAACGAAGACTAATTGGAGAAGCCTTTTCACAAATTTACATACAAAAGAGCGATAACAAAAGCAGATTAAGAATTTTACCTCGTGAACTTGTCATCGTTGATTTTGACAAGGCAGGAGGATCTATGATCTTCAACACAATACTTGCAGCCTCGAGCTATTCGGCAAGGCAGTCCCACATAATCAGCCAATTTCTGCATATCAAATTCCATATTTCATCAATATAACATCTTGTTAACACTCAAAACTATATATACCAAGTCAAAACCTTGAAACCAAAAGAAAAAAATCAAAAAGCGTGACTGAACCAAATCGAACCAAAATTGACTTCACTACAACAAATGAGGCTTTTTGAACAGTTGAAATTCACATTTTTACATGGTTTTACAACCATGTAAAACCAGCAGCAGTAAAATCGTGTAAAAAGGTGATCTTTCTAAACGGTTTTAGAACCATGTACATAGTGTCATTAAAACAGTATAAAAGTTGCCCTTTCACACGTTTATTTTACTAAAAACCATGTAAAAAGATGCTCTTTTGTGCGGTTCGGTTCAGTGCATAAAACTTCAAACCAGGTGACGACTGTTCAGTTTATGGTAACAACAAAAACCGAACTACATATGCTTATATTTTAAATCATAACCTTGAAAAGAATAGCTCTGTGCCTACAAAGTCCCACAGACAAGCTGCCAACCGGCACCAGAATGCCGTTCTGAAGATCCCTCAGTCTCGTGCTAGCCAATTCCCATCGAGCATGGAGATCATCTTGCTCTATCGGAAACGATCCCCTTGAATATATTAACAAGTTTCAACATTCTCAACATGTAGCAAATTAATAAAGGATGATGAACAAAAAGCCAAAAGAAATAACACCCACATACCCCATAGTAGAAGCAACAAGTTTTCCAAGCTTTTCAGCCAACATCAGATGGTTTTCTGCAGAAAAATAGAGCTCTTGTGCTCTATCTTCCAAGTCCCTTAGCCGTGAATCACCATATCTATCCACAAGAACGACCTCCATTGATGTAGAACTTGGATTCACAGCTTTCAGTGATAACAAAGACGGCAAATGTTTGCCTTCTTCAGAATCATTGCACATCATCCACATATATGGATCCATTCCAAGGATGTTATAGAACCCATCTGATATCTTATCATTATATGATAGAGTCCCGTTAACCTGTAATTGAAGAAACCATTTTTACTGGGTGGGTTACCTTAAAGATCAACAAAATTACAAAACACTGCTTCATATCATTCAAAGAGGAAATCTTTATCTGAAATGAATGGACTAACAGCTAGAAAGATTGTGAATTTATCTTATCCGGAGTTCTCAGTTCAAATCAGGGAGGAACAAAAATCTTAAATACCGTGACTCCGGACTACGTGTAGATTCTTGTACAAGAAACTCAACAAAACGTGTGTGACTTATAAGGACTCTCGTTGATGATGATGAACTATATTTTTTGTTTATAAGATTCATTCATTGAAGATACCCTTATGTGGATATGTCCCCATATATAACATCATTCAACATGAGCCACTCCGAGATGTAACTTCTAATTACATATAAATTATTTAGTAAAAATATTCAATTATTAATCATACATATAAAAACATATTTCAATAATCAAACATGAATTCATGTTTGGGAATGCTTTGTAATAATAAATAAATGACAGTTAAATTGGTAATTAAGTTTGTTTAAAACAAATTAATGATTAGTGGAGATAGAAAGAGTAACGTATGGAGAAGGCATAAAAAGAGTAGATGCGTAGCCCATACTCAAAGATGATAATACTAAAAAGAATAGTCATATCAAGTTATCAATCTATACATGAATATTGGCCGAACAATGTTATGATTTAACCTCTCAAGAGGTTCAAATCAACTTTTGTTTTTTAAGGACCAAACTCTTTCATGCTTTCTTTCTTTCTCTAAAAGCCCTTTTTTTTATAGGGAGGGGAAACCCTCCAGATCAAGATAAAACACTAAAACACTAAAAAGCAAGACAAATACGCGCTCGGGTGGGGGCGAACCACATCCACCAGAAAAAGACCAAGGCACCCCGAAATGAGGGAGGGAAGGAAAAGAAGAAGAGGAGAAAGAAAACCAACCACAGGGGAAAGTCCCTGGCGGGTCAAGCCAGGGTAACAAACGGGGAAAACAACAAGGGGCGGAGAAAGGACCTATTTTAGGCACACCCTAAACCGAATCAAGAGAGCCAAGAAAGCAAAGTAGCACAAAGGGCACACTAAGCACAAGAAGAAACATCACTGGACCATAGGGGAGGGGGGAGAATCCAACTGCTAAACAACCTGAGAGGTCTTCGGATCAACCTGGGAGGAAGTGATATCATTGCTAAGAAATCGTGCGGTATCACCATCATCCGACTCAACCTCTTTAATGTCATCCTCACCAAGGAGGTCATCTTGATCAAGAGGATCATCATCAATCTCAGAAGAAGCAGAAGGGGCGGGGGGACGAGAAGAGGAGGACTTCGGGTCAGCTGATTATTTATGACCCACCATCTTGAATGTTAAATTCTAGATTAGTTTGGTAATTGTTAAAAAATGGCTATTTATTTATCAAAAGATTTGGCCAAAAAATACTAGTTTGGTGGAAAAAGAGGTCATAATATAATTATATAAATAAACTTTTCAAATCGCTAAATAAAACTACAAACCATACGTCATTTTGAAGAATAAATACATAGGTTGTGTACACAAACCCTTCTCTTTCCTAAATGAACATTTTGTATTAATTCTGTTTTTTACATAGTAAAATCAAACTCTTTTTTTACATGTTCGGCGTAATTTTACGATCGAACGAGGTGTTCTTTAACATCCTACATAATTATGTGATTGAAGTAATACCTAATGTGTCATTATCCAACTATAATAGTAGTAATAAACCAAAAATATAGTCTAATACTGATTAAATAAAAGTACTGTAAGTAAGTATATAGTTTTTCATATATTGATCAATAATTATATAATTAATCTATATCTACATTTTTGTCTTCAAGCAGAACTTAGACCATTATCAACCAAATTTCATGGAAGGTCAGCAAGGATGAGTAATATATATATATATATATATATATATATATATATATACTAGAAGGATACTTGTATAATGCAGTGAGATATATCTGAATTTTAATGTTTTGTTTTGTTTTGTACCTCTATCAATATAATATGATTTTATGTGGTTTTGAGAAAATGGTAATATTTTTATTTCTTAAATAAAATATGAATGTGACGATGTCATAGAAATTTTAAAAAAAAAATTATATCGATATTAGTATCAAATTAACTATTTAATAGTTCTTCTTTTTGTGTAATTTCTTTAATTCAATTTTTTTATTATAATTTTTAGGTTTAATAACGAAGTAATTCTTTTTAGTTTAATAATATAATTTGATTTTTGGTTTTTTTAATGCGAATTACCGATAACAAAGAGAAAAGGGAAACATTTCATTATTATTATTATTATTATTATTATTATTATTATTATTATTATTTATATTTGTAAAATTACTTTATATAATAAAAAATCAAATACAACGATTGAAATGTTAATAAGACATTCCTTTGAACTTACCAACATGACAAAAACCAAAGCAAAATCAAGGATACAAAAAGTATATTTCATTAAAACTGGGAGCTTCTGATTTGATATACGACCAACCAAAACAATTGTTCAAATATTGATAAAATAAAATATATAACAAATTCAACGGTTTTTTAATTTAATAAATAAATTGGCAAAAAATGATGAGACTTTCAACAAAGAGAAGATTTGAAATCTTATGGAAAATAATTTAAATAAATATTGTTACGTAGGATTTATAGCTATATTATTTTATTAGACAACATTTTTCTAAAAGCATCAAATAAAATGGTTCCTACACATTATGCCCATATTCAATGGATCGGCATATAATTATGCATTCTAATTTCAAGATTATTTTATATAAATAACCATGTATAATATTTTATGTTCAAGAAACACTGCAATACTTTAACAAAGAGTGGCTTAAAAGATAACCCAAAACAAAACAAAACAAAAAAAGTAAAGAATTATGATTGATATTAAGAATAAATTTGATGAAAATTCGAGCGTAGATGAAGTTCTAACTAAAAAAAGAATGAACGGATTTTTAAGATATTCTTCCATTTATCTCACAACTCTTTTGGGAAATCATGGGATCCGGACCAACTTACTTGCATCGAATGACGTCTGAATTCGAACCCGATCAGGTTTTCACTACGTCCTCTTAACTTTTAACGAGTATGCCAACCCAAATGGTTTTTTTGTTTTCTTTATATAACTTTAATACAGTGCGTCCTTTTCATTTACGGTGGGGTGGTTGGATTAAAATAAATGAACGATGTAAATAGTTTTATGTGTTAGTGTTCTATTTTTGATATAAATTTGTAATGTTAAATTTGTAGATAGTTCCGGCGAGGTATGGTGGCTGATTGTGCCGTCATCCACCGCCCTATCTTTCTAACATGTTGCACATTATGATATCCATAAACACAGCTAGAACCAAAAGGCAAAGATCATCGACAAATCAATTACGTACGGAAGTTAAAGAAGGAAAGAATAATCATACCCAGAGACGATACGAGACGGATTCTGCATCATAGCACGTCACGGCGGGTCCGCCGCCACCACCGCCATAGCCACGTCCTTGAATAAGTGTAGGTTCGTCACCAATGGTGGCTTGATGGGTTAGCCGTTTTGCTAGCGCAAGTTGCAAGTAATAGCTTTCACGCCATCTTTGAACAAGATTCCGACGACCATCATCTCCTCCACCACCATCACTATTCCCCACCACCTGCACCACCTCCTCCTCCCTCATCCCCATCGTCTCTTCCGTCATTGAATCCTTAACAAAAGCGGCAGAGCTCGACGTCGCGATCGTGCCGGAGAACAAACTCGCGGCGTAACTACTTCCGGCATCACTTGATAACCGGTGCAGAGAAACCTGTCGGTCGCCCAAACTCCGATGGTCTCTAACAACACCGGAGAAATGACCACTCTCATTACTAATCTGCCGATCAATCGCACCAATGCTTTGCCGTGTGGTTGGATGATGAAAATCGACGTCGGAGACATGACTATGCCAGTCATCGTCGATAATATCCTTCACCGTCGCCGGCAAGAGATCGTTGAGGACGACGTCGTTGTTGTTGAGCTTCACGTGACCGGAGCCTGAACCTCCACCGGAATTAGTTTTTTTCTCCACCAACCAATTAACGAAAGCGGCCAGCTGCTGCTTCTTTTTCTTCCCGTGGCTCCGGTCGCTTTTACAGCTACTGAAACGATGTCGTTCTGATAGTAAAGCAGTAGGTCCAAATACATCTGTATTTGTTACCCTTTCGCCATCGCCATCGATCATGAACCTTGAATTCTCTTTCGAGATGATCTTCTTCTCGTGATCTTCAGATTTCAACGACGAATTCGTGATCACCCCACTTTCAGGAAATTGCCTCGGAAAAATGTAAGTGGTTCTATGCGGCATTTTATCAAACAGGTTGCCTCTTTATGAACCAAATAGTAAAATTAAACAAAAATCAAACTCCCTTTTCTTCTCTATCTAAATCTAGCACAACTTCTGCTGCTTTGCTCGGAAATTAACAGCACCAGTGAACGAAAACTGGTCGTATTTGAGCAGCAATTTTTTACGTGTTGTCGACTTGATGAATCGCAACAAGGAACGCATCGTTACCCACTTTCAAAAAACTCAAACAAACTATCGAAAAAAGAAAATTAATGAAATTGCTTCAAATCTTCACCCCAACCACGAATATTCATCGAAAAATTCGTATTAAGCTTTTCCAACAAAATCAAGCAAAGCTCAAGCTCGAATTCTTCCCTAAAGTGGACAAAACTTGTGTTATGATTATGAAAACAGCACACCCAGAAGAGATTTCTGAGAAATAAACAGAAAATTGATGAGAAATATCAGACGATTGGTTGGATTTGTAGAGGAAACAAGCATGGGAATCACTTCAAGAATGGAATACAGAGACTGTCTGGTTTCTATAAATAAATAAAAAGAGAAGCGATAAGGGGGGAGAGAGAGAGAAAGTATACATCCGGCGTAAGTTAGCAAAGGTTTCTATTGGAGGAAGGGGCGGCTGCATCGTTTTATGGAAAAAAGCATTATCTGGTGTGTGGAAATCGTAAAACATTTGTTTAAATTAACCGCCATGCAAAGAAGGTGGTGGTCAGAGTCGAGTCGGGTCGGGTTGAATAGTTTGTACTATAGAAAAATAATTTGGTAAAATAGCATTTTAGTAAACATATTTGTTTAGGGTTTACAAAAAATTATTCGAATTAATTTAAATTAGATATCTAATTGTATCGGATATAAAATTTTAACATCTAATTTAGATCGGTCGGTTCTTAAATGACAGACAATCATCCAATAAAACTGAACCAATCCAATTATCATCTAACTTCTATCAAACTAAGGGGCTGTTTGGCGGTTGTTGAATGATTAAGAGGCTTTCATGATATAGTGCAAAATAAAATATAATTGTTTAGTAATTGTTTACAATGAAATTAGGGCGCTGAATGGTTAAGGGATGCCTAGGATACAAAATTATTCAAAGGGTTTTAGAATCATGAAGAGTCAAACTTTTTTTTGTCAAACAAAATTCATATTTTAACGATGTAGTCTCACGAAAATAGATTGGTCTCACATGATCTAAGTCTGATGCTAAAAGAACAACATTCTATATTCCTTGTTTATAGAGTGCTTGGTAATGGTGTGTTCAACCGTTTAGGCAGTGTTGACCAATTCTCAAACATGGTTTAATAGAGCCACTAGCAAATTCATATATAAAAATATACAACATACGTGTAGTAGATGCAACAATAAAAGATAATTTATCAGTTTTTTGTATAAAAATATTTGACGAAATTATTCACGAAGCAAGAATAATAAGTTTTCAAGCATGATCACAATTTTTTTCGAAACAAAATTCCATACAGAATATTTGTTGTGGAATGTGATTAGTTTTATTTATTTCACCTCAAGATAAATATATGTTATAATAAAAATAATACGAAAAAGTAAATAAGATGAATTAGGAAGGAAGTAATAAAATTAAAATCAGGACATAAATTAACCAAAAACACAAATAGCCTAATGGTAAACTTGTTTGTTGCTATACTAGAAGTCGCATTTCTGAGTCTTGTTATGCTCCTTGCATGTCCGTTTTTGAGTAGTAACACCACCGATTTGGAATGGCCTAATCCGTGAGTCAATGCCCTGGGTCGGCACTGTGTAATTAGCATTACAAAAAACAAAAACAAAAAAACATTTTTTGTCTCCTCCTTTCTTTTTCTCCGGCCACCTCGTCAACAATAGTTCAAGAAGTTAAATTCATAAACAAACTCAATTTTTTCAACCCTAAAATTCAATAATATTCAACATAGAAATTCAAGAATATTCATCCTAAAATGTAAACCAATCAAAATGCTTCGTAGTTAAAGTACAGTTTAATTAACAAAGTTAGTCTACAGACTAATTTCAAACCAAAATGCAAATTGTAGTGACAATTTATTTACTTATTAAAACATATTGGACGACTTTCATTATTTTGTACAAACCACATGAACCAAAATAACATGGAAATATTTTCAACTATAACATGTCTCATAAACATCTACTAGTTTTTTTATCTATAAAGAAATAAATTTGAAATGAGCTATTACATCAAATAAAAAGTGTTGCATTTTATAAACAACGGAATAAGATACTAAAGTTTTGAGTTGATGTATTTATTTTCCTAATGAAGATAATTCTTCTAAAAAAATACATAGAACATAACATGTATTAATTTCTATAAATAGAAAGAATATGTGAACTTGTAAATGTTTCGAAGAACTGTATTTTGTTGTGTTCCAACTTGTAACATTTTGAACAAGCTAGTAATCAATATTTTTTATACATTGTGGTTCAGAAAAACGAGTGACAATCATCAAACCTTTTGTACAACGGTTTTATTTGCCTCTTCGTTAATAAAGAAAGTGATGACCAAAGACAACGTTTGGACCCTTTGAAAGATCAATGCCAACAGTTGGGTCCAAGTTGTTGTCGTACCGGATAAAATATCATAAATTAATAAACAATAATTTTCTCAAACATGTTTCGGTTTATAAGAATTGTTGTCTACTATATTAACAAATCCAAACGACCTATATAGCATACATTACAATATGTTCTTAGCTTATGTTCAAGGTGCAGAGAGGAAGATAGGCAAAGTGGAAGCGACTAGAACTTCTCCAGAACCTGTCAGTTACGCCTTTAGGGGCCGCCACGTATAAATTTACTTTATGTCACATCCCTCTTCTCACTAACATCGTGACTATACATCATAACTTAATTCAAACAACCCTTCTATCACATCACAATAGATGACTTAAAACATAAAAACATCTCAAACTTTCATTAGCATACATCCCACATGATAAGCCGACCTTATTGTTTTAGAGGTTTTGGTTGGTCATGTCTTTTGAACCAGAAGCTCTGGTTAGTACAACCAGAGGATCTGGTCAAACATAAACTCTTTTAATCATTTTTAGTTATGGAAAAGCTATTTCATTATTTACAAAGTTAAGTCAAGGAACATTATGAGAAAATAACCTGAGCAAGAGGCTCTGGCTCCGGTAGAGGAACCAGAGGGGCTCTGGTCCTGATTAGTAAAATATTTGTAAGTATGGTATTTGAAACCACAGGCCCGATGGACTTAAATAGAATGTGATTTTATCACCTGATTTTCAGAATGATATATTTCAAATAAATGTTTTGGTGACCTACACCCTGCATTACATAAAAAGGGAATCTCACTAGACATTCATGTCTAACCCTCATTTTGTGTTTTCAAATATGTGTGCAGGTAATGATAATAAGGGAAAGAGCATTCTATGATTATTTCCCTATGTGCTTAGCTGTATGAAGATCTTAATTAATCATGTTTTGGAATATAGATGCTAAGATGCAAGAACATGTACTTTTTGAATTTTTGAGTTGTATAAATTATAGTAAAGTCTCTTGTATTATGGACCTATGTGGGCTTAACATATAATCTATGAATGAATTATGTGTAATATGCAATGTATTGATTTTGGGGTTTTACATTAACTGTGAACTAGTCAAAGTTAGAGGTGCCCTCTAACATATATCTCGACTAAAGTGAACTAGTCTAGTCTCAAATATACCCCTTACATCACATGCACCGACTATACATAACATGATGTTTTTCCATAACATTATCAGCCTCCTTGTACAAAACCCAAACAAATAACCACATACTTTACATGCATAACATTGTATCTTGAATTGTATAATGTATTTAATATGCATTACACTTGAAAAATGAAAACATAGCATGTTGAAATAATCATCATAATCATACTTGAAAACATAAATATACATGTATCCTATATAAGAAACTCACATGTGTTGGTATAGGCTTACTTGTCACTCGATGTATTGCAAATATGTCTAAATACTTGTATTATGTATAGAATAGTTTTACTACTTGACTAAATATGGCATTCTAGTCAACTTCGTTTTGGGTCAAACTTGGTTAAGGGGACTGGTAAGTGAATAATTTATCTCATTTTGATCACTTATTATTTTAATATTTCTCTTTATTTAGTTTCCCAACCTCAAAAATTGAGTCTTTTATTGTAGTTTTATCATTTATTGAGTATGGAACTAAGTTGTAGAAATTGATTTTATTTGTGCTTTAGATTGAAAGTTTGGTAATATTTTGGTGCTGCAGTAGGAATGTCGCAACAGAGGGCAGCAGTTCGTGACTAGAACCTTCATCAACTTTTTGGAGAAATCGATTCCTTTCATGATGACCACTTCAATCTAGAAAAATATGAAGCATCTTTTGAAAAATATTGATGATAAGGTCGGGTCAGAAGTGTTTGTTAAGAAAAGAAATATTTTGTACTAGATGATAATTAACTTTTTTGTGTAATACCAATTGGGTAAAGAGACAAGTGAATTGTATCTTTTATTTGTTGTGAAATGTTCCCTTCCTAGTATAAAAGGAGGAATCTTCTTTACATTTTCAGGCAAGACTAATTGCTCATCTAGCTATTTAGTTATTTATTGTCACTTATCATATTTTAATATAAAGTTTAAAGCTTTCGGTATTTTACTACACAGTGCTACAACATTCGTTTTACATTCTCACAACACTTTACTTTTTTTGTCATTTACAATTTATGCATTACTTTTCAAGCAATGATGGGCTAATCTGTAGCTTAGATGTGGGTGAAAATTTAGGAGATAAAAGTCTATGTGTTAGCGGATAATTGATTTCGCTAAAAGCTATCATCTCTGCTATTCACTCTTTGTTGCTAAGTTTCATCCAAGTAATTCTTGACAAACTGACACATATTTTGGACTTAAATGTAAGCCGACGGAAATTTTTAGACCCCTAAGTGTTGTAGATGGCAATAAAGAGATGTGTCAACCTTAACAAGTTGCAAACTATATAAAGAAAATGTAAGATCTGTATTGTGCTCAGAATTGTACTCATTTGGGTGCTACTAGCAAAAAGGTCTAACTTGAACCTCGAAAGAGAGTTGTTCAATCCAGTAGTGGTGGTTAAGAACTATTGTTGCAACATCCTGCTGGGTCATGTTGTAGTAAGGTTCCCTGCACATTGTTATTAAACTCCAACCTAAACATGCACCCTTACTTTCATTTTACCTCTTTTTAACATTTCTAGTTGTTAACTCACTCAAAATTATTCCTTCAATTCACCATCTGAAATCTCTTTTTTAAGCTTGTACACAATCTATATGGACATGTTATTGATTGTTACAATTATGTCCCTACACCTTGTTTATCCATACATCAATCCCTTGAACTTCATGCTTCAAGTCATTACACTTTCACCCACTGTACTTCTATTGTTCTTATTTCAGCCACCAAGTTTACTTCAAATGTGAAAAAGACGATATACAATCACTTTATAAATTAGCAAAATACTTTGCTTGCAGATTGTATGCACAGAAAATTTCTCATGTTGTAGAGATTTCATGTAA